TTGTCGAGCAGTTTCCGAAAACTCATAGTTTGGATCATGCATGCTCTTCGTTGTGGAGTAGTCGGAGCTCTGAAAAGCGGTCCAGGGGTGTGTGATATCTTTCGTCATGTAACCTGCGGCTTCAGGTAGATCCTACACAAAACCCCATGCGTAAAAAGATGTAGTACTCGACGTTGGCGACCAAACAAGACCTTGGGCCTCGACCCGCATAAAAAAAACATTCTTACAGTATACGTTTGCTATCTCCGGTCATCAGGTGAAATCGCGTAGAGTGACGGGCCCGCGATAGTGGGGGTTTGTGCCAAGCTCTCTTCGCCCGCACATCACAGCGGACACCTGCACCATTCGATGCATTAAACGTCGTTTTGATGATGTCTGTCTGAGCCAGTCAACTCCACCCGCACAACATTAGGGGCCCCCTTGACTGTTTTCATACCTCGTCGAACAAAAGGACGAACCCGTTGTACAGGTACACGCATGTTCCGAAGGCGGTTAGGATGAAATCTTGACGTCATTGAAGCCGGAGGATGATATAGTACGCAGGACGGCGAGGGGGAACACCAGAGAGACACGGGGGGGAGAGAGAGAGGAAAAGGGAGGGAGGGAGGGAGGGAAAGAGGGAGAGCAAAAAGCAAAACAAAGTTTTGGGCACTAAGCTCGAAACACGGTTCCCCTTCATCTCTCACCTTGAGAGACACACACCACTCGAGGCGCCGGCCCTTCCTGCTGTTGACGTAGTCCATGGCGCGGATATCCAGCAGCTGGATCCTGATGGGGAAGTTGGGAATCTTGTTCTCCTTCTTGAGGAAGTTCCTCAACCTTCCAGAGGCATTCTGCGAACCGGCCAACACCACAGGGCAAACACGACGGTTGAAAGTCGGGCGTTGCGGAGCTACATACGAATAGAGGACCCCGACACTAGAGTGTTCTCTATCCCGCTTCGACACAAGGGCACACCTTTGCAGCCTGCTTGTCCTCTGCCCAGCTACAGAAACGTGTCTCCCCGTTCCTTACCGACCCCCGCCCCCAAACCCGAGCTTCCATCTTCAGCTGTTTGACGAAATCCATACGGGATAACAGGCGCGGTTGCCATTTTCCCTTTCCTCGGTCGCGTTTCCACGCACCTCAAAAGGCGTGTACCCAATTTCTTAACCCTGCCGTGTCATTTGTCTCTAGCGCGGGGGGGGGGGTTTATGACTTCCGCCGTTTCCTGCGCCCATGCGACCATTTGAGTGTGGAATGGCCATAGCAATACAAATACCAATACAAGGCTGACACTCGTGCCATCTGAAACCGCACACGTGGGACACCGGGTTAAGAAAACGACCCGAGGCATCGAAATGGCATCAAAAAGCGAGCGCTTGCGCGTGCGTTAGTCCGCACCTTGTCGAGGAAGAGGTCTTTCCGGATGTTGTACCACGGCACGATGCCCCCCGATCCCCCTGCCTCCAGCAAGTGCTCCACGAGCATCTCTAGGAAAACCTCCTTCGCCGTGGGCTACAGTGAGCCACAGGATAGTTGTTGGGGGGAGGGATAACAAGTGAGTTACGCCCCTAGAATTCGGTGGACGGATAGGCGTGAACATCCGCAGCATGGAACGGTGCAGGGCTTCGCGGTAAGCTTCGAGCGATGTACGAAGTTCTCCGAGTGGGTAATATGACAGCAAATAGCCACGGCAGTGCTCAGAAGAATGACTGCCTGATGCACGCACATGATTTTCGCCAGAGAGAGAGCGCGCGCGAGAGAGAGTGCTCTTTCCAACCTTGAAGGCAAAAAACAAGTATCTCGAGACTTGCACATGAGACGGCTCTACGGAGCTGGGTGGTGAGGGTCATGGAGATTCCATACCTCTAGCTTGGTCCCTGGGGGAACGAGGATTGAGTCCTTGAAGCGCTTGAGGTACAAGACCACGAAACGGAACATGCCGTCCTTCTGCTCGCCGTTCTCCTCGTTGTCGGTAGCCGGCTTCTGCACGACGCTCTTGAAAATAAGTCCCGTCGACGCCTGATCCGCCACGGGGGTACGTGTTGCGTCCAGCAAAATGGGCAGTATTTCTATCGAGAAACTTTGCGCGCGTGGTGCTGCTTCATATGCAATCGAGCAATCACTACGGCCATAGAACAGCAGCAGCAAATAGCAGCAGCAGCACAGTAGCAGCAGCAATAGCAGCGGCAGCAGTCGGTGACAAAGGCATCACAATACGACCATGCATTCCACACGTTGGCGGTAAATAACGAATGCGTTCCGCCTTCCGGTACCCGCACCAATAGGCATGCACTTCGAATGACCGACAAGCGGCCGTGATATTACAAATGCGTACATACGTCGGGGCCCGGAAAACGCTCTTTCTCAGATGCACAAGAACTTTCGAAAAAATCATATTGCGTCTCAAGCAGACGCCGTAGGCGGCGTATCTGCCCCCCCCCCCCCCCTCACACGTTCGTTTTGTTTTGCGCGCGGTTAAAGTCGGTTTTCTACTTTCCTGCTTTCGAGATGGTTGCCGCCGTGATAGCGTCAAAGGGGTTCGGTAACCTTTTCGGCACGGACTTTTTCCCAAACATGGACCCAAAGGGTTCCGCAGGGCAAGAAAATCCTTCCCCTTCCCCGTCGAGGAGACAGAGCGACGAAATTGTTCAGCGGGTGTAGGTGTGGCATCCCATGCTAGATCAACGATCTCCCGTGAAGAGTGAGCGGGCAACCTTCGCTGCTTCATCCTCACCAGCCTGTCGTAGACCGGGTAGAGCTGCATCGCGGTAATGCGCTGGCTCCCTAGGAAGGCCCCCTCCCGAGTCTTGTTGGGGACACGGTACTTGGACGTCTGGGTAGTGACGACTTCGACCTGGAGAGACAGAGAGAAGGAGGGGGGGTGAGAGCGCACGGAAAACCAAGAGAAAGAAAGTGCGTCAGGAACTAGGAGAGGAAGAGAAGGAAGTAGAGAATATGAGGAATGAGCGTGTGTGGGACTAAGCACCTACCTCCGTATAAAAACAAAAATGAAGGGTGCGAGGAAAATGCTCTTGAACCATATTTAGAATTGCCTTGGATTCGCGGCAGGAATAATGGTGGAGGCTACAACTCACAAAACTTGTAGTCTTCATTGAAGAGGGTCGATCGAATGTGCGACTTTGCCGCCAAATATTACTCCAGACGTCAGTCTTCACCCTTCTGGCGCACTTTTTGGACATTGCAGCGGTTTAGATAGCTTCCGACTGACGTCCAATCCTTTCGTAAAAGAGCTGAAAGTCCCTGATCGAACGACCTGCTTCTGGCGACCCAGCTGGAAAGAAGCGCGGAACGTGTCCGCGTTGACAAGATTGGAACACGCGTTTTTCTACGCCCGTTGCGATTCTCTTCGACCACTCCGTACCTATTGTTCCAGTACGCCCATCTACCGCGTCTTGTATGTTGTTTCAATGCGCGTTTCTTCTCTTCCCTATTGATTTCAGCATATTGTCGACCCCGTCTTGTCTGCTGTTTCAGTGTACGTTTCCCCTATTCTCTAGTGCATTGTAGCTTTCTGTCTACCATTTACTCACGTAGTCGTCCTTCTTGTCGGAGCCGATGATCCTGTTAACGCCGTCCAACACCTCGGCAGTCGAAGCCCCCCATCCGCGGTGCCGTCCCACCACCTGTGGTAGCACAAAAACACCACACAAGCAAAAAAAAAACTTAGACTAACAAAGAGTGTTGGTGCCAAGGACACGAGTTATGATACAAATATAAATCGACACGGCTTTGTGCACCGTGTACATCGGCCGTGCTTAGCGCAACGTTGGGTGGGTGATACCGCTCCATGCAAGTTGTTCGTGCACGAATGTGGTACTTGGCACGGATACGAACGCACCCACAGGGCCGTGAGAGTGTTCCGTAAGCGAGTGCATCACAAGGCACACCCGAAAAAAAAATCGTTTCTCGCGGGGGCACAAGCAAGGCTCAAAATAGGGGCGCTCTTTCTTGGGCAAGAGCGTGAAGGGGCGAGGGCATGGGATGAGCCGCATGGCCGTAAAGAAGAACGGGCTGCCGCAAACCAACGCGGAACGGATTGCCACGCCCTGCCTGCGTGACGAAAGAACCCTCGTCGTGAGAAGGCTTCCAACCAGTACAGATGTTCGATTGACCATGGTATAAAGTAAAAATCAAGACAAAACAACAATCATAGTGTACAATAAGAGGATCAATCACACCTCGAGCACTTGAAGGTAGGCGGGACTAACGAGGGTGACGCTCTTCAGGGTTGCTGTGTCTAGGCCCAGGGCTCGCAGCCGCACCGGCCTCGACGCCACGACGCCCACGCTCCTCTGCACGAAAGGAGCACAACCGGTAAACACACACGACGACTATTATAATAGTTGTTGCGCGTGCGACAGGGCGAACCAATCTGTGCGTTTGGACGGAGCATCGCGTGGACCACGATGGTTGTCAAACTGAAAGGGCGGCCGTATCCTTTGGTAAAATAGTAATATCTTACACCACTGACGGCACGAGCTGCTCGCGTATTCGCTATACAGGCACGCCTCTCTCTGAGCAGACTGAACGAAACAAACACGAGCTTGTAACGGTATGAAAGGGCCTCCTCCATCTTACTGCTGCGTCCCCATAATTCCGGAATTGGCATTTCTGTCACCTTCCCCCGCCGTAAACAAGCCGAACGCTAGAAAACACATAGTGCCTCTACCCCATCCCGCCCTCGCTCCCGAGACACTACACCATATTGTGGCCGGAACATACAAGCTTAGTGCATGCGGGTACACAAGCAGCACCTGAATCACAGAAGTTGCCGTGGAAAATGTAAGCATGGAAATCCTACCAGACCTGCGGGAACAACCGAGCAGTCATACGCCACCGGCATATTGTCCGTGTGCTGTTCCAATCGTTTCCACAGGGGAAAAAAGAGCACACGACAATTGACACGCCCCATTGCGCGCTGATCCCACACAGTACGAGTACAGCGTTGTGAGACCCTCAAGTGGCCCTCTGTCTCTCTGTTCATACTTTTTTCGCTGCTGTCTCTCTCTGTTGCTTCCTTGATCTCTGCTTATCTGCCTGCCTGACAGTCTGTCCACCAGTCACAACCTCTCTCTCTTTCCTTCGCTTTTTATACCCCCGCTCCAAACCACATACCTGCTCCTTTTCAAGGGTGGGAATGTCCTTGATCGCCGCTAATCGAGAGTCCTCGGGATCGCCACGCTTGAGGTTGTTGGATTCCTGAACACGAGCGCAATTACGGAAATTATTGTTACCTCCATGGTTCGTTACTAAACACGCACAGCAAGACGGATGGCGAAAGGGCCACAACAGTGCCAAAACCCATACACGACCAGTCGTGCACAGCACGCTGCTTCGATGCATAAAGTAGGGGATACAGGGATAAGAACCCGCCCTTGAAAGAGGTAGCAGCGGCGTAAGAACAAAAGTGGAGAATGCAAGAACACCCCAGAGATGGCGACCATGTTTTGGTCTCCCACCATCGGGTGAACGTCAGGGGGACAAGCACCTGCAGCTACACCGTTTCCGTGTGGTTCATCCACCCATCATGAGTCTCTGCTCAGGCTGCTTCGCCAACTAGGTTCACCATGATTGCGTACGTGGGTGGCGACAAGCAGCCGAAGCAGTGCCACGTAGTAAGAAAGAGACACGATACAACAGCTCCATTACAAGCCCGAAACGGAACAGACTTAGGTGCAGCGAGCAGCGGTGCGTAGCGAACGTCCAGCCCTCACTCACCCCCTGGTCGTTGTACGTGGCGAGAAAAAGCTCCCTACCCCTCCGCGACACGATAGATCTGCAAGAGGGCAACACGGACACCGTCTCTCGTCAGATGGCCGGCGAACGGGACATGTTTGGGAAACACCCTCAAGAAACAGCTGCACACATCACCAACAACAACGACGGCAGCAGCAGAAGCAGCTAGGTCTAATAAAGAGCGGGACCCAAGGGAGGTATGGCCAAAGTCGACCGCGGGGTGCAAGTAAGGTCCGTCAAGAAGAAAAAATCAGGGATGCCCTTAACCCCGAACCGACCCCGTATCCTACCGGTAGTAACCAAATAGCCGAGGAAAGAAATCGCCCGTCACCGGGAAATTCGAAAACGCTCTTTCGTTTTCGCTCTAAAGAGTAGTGTGGGTGCAATTCTCAACAAGGGGCTTTTGACTTTGTGATTACCATTCGTTTGCAATTGATGTATCAAATATTTGTTAATTTTTCTTCCGAGAGCCTTGGCCTCTGGCGAAGACCTCAGGACATGCCCGCGAAGTGTGCCGCCGCCAGCCTCTGGGTTCATGCCCGCGAATAACCTGTCACAGAAATCTACGCTTCACTTGAGTTGTTCGTTGCCCTGCACCCGCGTTGGTGGTGGTGAAAAAAGCAACAAATGTTTCGCCGCCTTCGGTATCAAGCGCAAAAAATCAGGGGATTCGGAAGCGATCCCAATTAGGAAGATCCCAATCGTCTGCTGTGGTGGTGGTCTGTGCGTCTGGGGGTGTGTTGCTATGGCCGTCTGTCATGTGTGTGTGTCGTGTGAAAGGAGAGGAGGACCACTATATGGAATATGGGGGTAGGGGGCCCGTGGCTAAGAAATAACCCGAGAATATCTTTTTTGTCTACCCGGCCACCCCATTACCGTTAATTACCGGTACCGGGTTCTGGACATCCCTGAAAAAATTCCCCAAGGGACAAAAATAACTAGTGCTTGTTGTCCCCGTAGGGTTGAAAGCGGGCAAGACCTGACAAAAGGCCACTGTCTTCACAGTTGATCACACCTTGCGCATCGCTCCCCCCTGCCCCATGATTTCCGCCCGAGGACGCGCGATTCCCACAGTGACGTGCTACGGAAACAAGTGCTCCGTGGTATCAAACACAACAGTCTTTTTTTTTTTTTTGGAAATGGGAAGACAACACGTAACAACGAGGGAACGACTGCTGTTGCCTAGGCAGAAATCGCCCCGGAGCCTTCGTGCAGTATGCAGTGATTTTCTTGTGCAACGCAACAAGGGCGATCTACGCGTACAGGTGCGGTCCCAAGCACGGGTGACACGCCGTTCGAGACTTGGGGCATGCATGATTATCTACAGCAGTAGCTGGGGGCTGCCGGCCAGTCGGTGCGAGGGAGACAAAGCCATAACACAAACTGATTTTTGCAGCGATATCACCGGTCGAAAAGATTAGACATTGCAAACGGGGATATATATCACGCTGAAAGGCCCTCTGGAAAGTGAAAGGCAAGAAAAAAAAGGGCTGGGGATACGGAGATGATCACCCGAGGCTCGAACTCGGCATCTCCATTCGTCCACGAACGATGGTGTTGAACTACGCCGTACCAAATTTTGAATGGGCCCACGGATTGTCCCAGCAGTAGATTGTTCGCGGGCTCAAAGAGATTACTACGGCTAACTGTCTTAGAAATGATACAACACCATCACTGCTGTGTTCGTCAGCCCCTTACGCAAGTGCAAGCATTCAGAAAAGGTTGTCTCGTTTGCACAGCCCCAACACATGCGTACAATCATGGTGTGTACCTCCACAGCCATGCCTTGACGAATTCTCGTGGGTCACTGCCGTCGTCGTCTGGTTGTTCCTCGCCCGGTTGCTGCGGTGTAGACCCAGACCCACCCTGCTGGCTTGGCGTATCCAATTCCACAAGCTTCCAGAGGCGTTCCAGCGTGCACCCGTTGCTGCCTTCCAGAGCTACCTCCCTCACAGCGGTCTCCCACACGCCTTGGAGATCAGGCATTGCCATTTTCGTGCTGGAAGCAGCAGCAGTATCCAACAACGCGTTTCAAAACAAGGCCAGGTACTTCGCGAACTCGGCACCTGCAGGCCAAACGCTTCGGTCGTAAAACAGACCCAGCAGGACAAAGCTTTTGTAGACCTCTCCCTCTCTCCCTTTCTCCGTCTGTGTCCTCCTCAACCAACAGCTCGTGGGCAGCAGTGATCACTCTTACCACTCACGGGTGGTCATGTGTGACGCGGCCAGCAAGACAGTTGGGGGCTCCGCGATGATCGACGAAAAATTGGACACCGCTCCACAGGTGCGCACGTCATCGAGGATCCACAGCACCAGCTGCCAGGTTTCGCGGGTTAACCTTGTAAATACGCACAGGAGGAATACAGGTGGGGTGCAAAAGAGTACGTGGAGCTCGATACACTATGATATTTTCAGATCTCAAAAGAACGTGAACGACGTAAATTAAATGTGCTTCGTATGCAAAATTGATGTGCATCATTAAAAGAAAGTGCTTTGGGGGCTCCGCCAATTCTCAGTTCGTTGTGCATTATTAGTCGACGATCGCCACAACAAAGGCCCACCACCACCCACCGCGCGTCGGCCTACTGTGGTGCATGGCAAGGCTTAGGCTTTCACCCCCGAAAAACCTAGCTATCGATGATGCTGCTTCGCGCGCTGCTTTTCATCCCCTCTGTTCTCGGGATAAAGCCGAGCGTTGTCGCCGGCATCGATGCCCGAGTGAAGGCAACGCTGCCTGCCGGGCGGCAACGAAGTTGGGTGGATATTCCTAGGAGGTGCGCTTGTTTTGCGCATGTGGCGGCGTGCGGACATATCATTGGTAGTCTCCATTGCATGGTGTGCATGGTGTGATGTGTGGAGCCAGTATATATCGTGTTGATGTACGTCGGTCGACATCTCCTCGGCCCTCAACAGATCAGCCCGATGAGATATGTACAGCGCAGCAGTATATACTTCATGGTGGACGACCGTTGGTCATGTCTCCACAAATCGCCGTCGAGGATGATTCACGTTGCCTCTCCGTCCCTGGCCAGATGTCTGATTTTGGTGCAAAACACCCGGATTCAAATTTCGCCACCCACTTTGACCAATACAACAGCAGAAGTCTACTTCCAAGGAACAGAATTTTCGATTTGTGGAGTTGATTCAACTTGATTGAGTCTATGGGTTGCATGTGGACATGTGGACGCACACATTCGTGGCGCACCACGTGATACACGTACAACATAAATGCAGTGTGAAGAAGTGAGGGCGTATATTAACGAAGAGCCGAAAATCAAAATCCAAATCGGCACAAAATCAAAATCAAAATGCGTTATCGTGGAAAACTGAAAAAAGAGGGTCGTGTAGGTTAACGAGGATAGGAGACAGATGAGGCAAAAAATCAAAAAGACCTGGCGCCAGGGGAAGAGCCAGCAGCGCAGCGGTGATTTTTCTAGGGTTCGTTTTACGCTCTTCTGTTCACGTGTTAGCCGATATCTCGCCAAATACTCAACAAGTTGCCTCAAGAAAGGTATCCGGAAGGAGCTGGAGACATGGGCTGTTGGGCAATGCCAAGGTTTGGGGCCGTGAGGTGCCGAATGCGCCGGACAAAAAAGGTTGTGTTGAAGCAAAAATGCCAACGGTTGCGAGCGGTCACTTCAAGTTGGGTGTTTTGGGCCGCCACGGGTTGAGATATCCACCGATAACTTTCCGAAGAAGGAAGCAACAGCAACAGCAACGCCACGCGGCAGGAGGTACGTCCATGCTCCATCTTTCAAGCCCAAGGTCTGCTACCGTGGGGTATCGTGTGTGTAGGGAAAAAAGTTTTGGTTGACCCTAAAAAATCCACGTCAGAGAGCGGCTAATTCAAGTTCGCGCCGAATGTCTGCTCACTGTTTAGTTTTTCAGCGATAACTCTTCGAAGGAGGAAGCAACAGCATTCGCAATGCCACGCGACGGGAGTTAGCTTTACCCACCATCTGTCTCGTACAAGGTTAGATGCCTTGGGGTATCGTGAGTGTGGAGAAAAAAAGTTGCAACTACCCTCTCCCGCACGGAACAGCCCGAAAAAGCCGCGCAGCCCTGTTCTGATCGTCAGTCCGTTCACCGCTTGTCACGATCGGCATTTTTCCTCGAGCACCCAACGAGCCGGCCCGTTTTGTGGCTTGCCGGCGAGCAGAGTCTTCTGGCTACAAATAACGGCCATGGTGTCGGTGGTAGGGTGCCGATAGCCCCTCTATGAGCAGTGTGCAGCAGGTCGTGTCGTACACTTGCTTTGCAGCGGCCTCGCGGCAGGTGTTCCAAGCCTTCGAAGTCTTGAACTCCTCTCCTCTTTGATTTTGATTTTGATTTTGATAAAAAAAAGTCCCCCGGCGACTTCTTCCCAGACAGAGGAACTTCCATAAAATCAAAGGTCGTCGTCAGGAGGTAGCAGATATTCGACCAATCAGATCTCGATTTTGATTTTGATTTTTTCGATTTTGATTTTCGGCACTTCGTTAATATACGCCCTGAGCCCACCTCCAGCCAGTCGAGTTCTGGATACTCAAAGAGTTTTCTTTCTTGTGGAGGCGACCGTCCGTGGTCGCTTCTCTCCAAAGGCCACCAAGTAGGACGATTCCCTCTGCCGCGCTAATGTCAACGAAGAGGTTCCTGCTTTTGGTAGTAGAAAGACCCGGGTTCAAAATCGTGCCACCCATCTTATTCAAGGTGTGTGGCAGGGGGGGGGGGGGGGGGGGGGGGGGGGTCCCCAAAACCGGGGGGG